GAGCCCCTTCTTGTTTGCTCTAGTGATGGACCAACTAACAGATGAGGTCAGGCAGAAATCCCCATGGACTATGATGTTTGCAGATGACATTGTGATCTGTGGTGAGAACAGGGAACAGGTGGAAGAGAACTTGGAGAGGTGGAGGTATGTACTTGAAAGAAGAGGAATGAAAGTCAGACGTAGTAAGACAGAGTACATGTGTGTGAATGAGAGGGAGGCCGGTGCAACAGTGAGGCTACAAGGAGCAGAGGTCACAAAGGTGCAGAACTTCAAGTACTTGGAGTCCACTGCAGGAAAATGTGCAGTGTGGTCAAGAGGTGAAAAAAAGAGTCCAGGTAGGATGGAGTGGATGGAGCAAAGTTTCAGGAGTGATTTGCGACAAAAGGGTGTCAGCAAAGGTCAAAGGAAACATTTACAAGACAGTGGTGAGACCAGCTGTGTTGTATGGTCTGGAGACAGAGGCATTGACAAAAAGACAGGAGAAAAAAACGGGAAATAGCAGAAATGAAGATGTTGAGGTTCTCCTTATAGTGACAAGGATGGATAAGATTAGGAATGAGATCATCAGAGGTACAGCACAGGTTGAACAATTGAAAGATAAAGTTAGAGAGGCCAGACTGAGATGGTTTGGACATGTCCAGAGGAGGGACAGTGGGTATATTGGTAGAAGGATGTTAGAAATGCAGCTGCCAGGAAAAAGACAAAGAGTAAGGCCAAAGAGGAGATATATGGATGCAGTTAGAGAGGACATGGAGGTAGTTGGAGTGAGGACAGAGGATGCAGAGGACAGAGTGAGATGAAGACAGATGACTCGCTGTGGTGAGCCCTGAAAAGGGAAAATCCAAAAGAAGAAGAAGATGATGACGATCCAGTGGTTATTTTCTCAAGGTTTTAATTAAATCCATTCAGTGGGTCAAGAGATATTTTGATAACAGACAATCAAGGTTGACTCCAATACTTAAAGCTAGTTTTAAATAAAGATCCTGCAAAAAAGGAGGACTTTGAATATGTGTTTTAAATGACTCTCAGCTACCAACACATCAAATTTTAACTCAATATCTGTTGGGGTGAACTTCACCTCTCAAATAATAAACAACAGTTAGGTTTTCACTCGGCAATAATGGATTCAATAATATAGTGTTTGTAAGAACCACATGTAAATTTTACAGATCAAAGCTGTTTAAAGATGGCAATAATCCATTTTAGTCTGTATCTCACTGTGGTATGACTGTTGTTGACAAATTTCACATGTTGGTTGCATGAAAGTTTCCAAAATGGCATCAGGAACTTGTTTTTTGTTAGTTTGGTTGGTTTTTACCCTTATCATTTTAGTTAGAAAGTGTGAGAAATGTGAGACAACTTTGAAAAGGTTCGGCAATTTGTGAATCCAAATTGAGCCCCCCCCCCCCCACACACACACACACACACACACACACACTTTTCATCAGTGGTCACCACAGCGAACTAAGTCGCACAAAGACTTGACAATTAAAAAAAATATATATATGTATATGATTATTACAATTTTGTGTCACTGTTGTCTCCAAACTGTGAATTCAAATTGAGACTGTTTGGAGACAAAGGTGAGACAAAATTGTGATCAAATTGAAACATTTTCAGAAAAGTTGTGCAATAGTAGCGATTTTATTCGTTGCACATCACACACAATTTTTAAAATGCCAGTGAGATTTGGTGTGACAAAAATATGTGAATACTTTCTCACATTGTTCACTTTAGATCTTTACATTTGGAAGGGCCATTGGCTCCTCGATCAGGTCCAACCCAAACTTTGTTTTATTCCAAACTGACATGGTTCACAAAGTTAGCAGGTAAAATGGACTGTACTTATATAGCACCTTTCTATCTTATCAAGACACTCAAAGTGCTTTACACTACAATCTGTGCCCTCATTTACCCATTCATACAGCTCTCTACTATACTGTATCTCTACAAAGACTAATCAGTGCTTTATCACATTCATACATTGATGGGACACACATCAGAGGCAATGAGGGGTTCAGTGTCTTGCCCAGGGACACTTCAGCATGTGACTGCTGGTGGAATCGAACTCCCAACTCTTGCATTGGAGGATGAATGCTCTAACCACTCAGCCACAGCTGCCCCAGATAATAAAATATAATTATAGGTTAATATAATAATACTAATGTGTTCAATTTGTACTGCACTTTACATTTTATAATCTCAAAGTGCTAGACATAAGTATAAACAAACAATAAACATAAGTATTAATTGTGCATAACTATTTTATAAAAATCCATCCATTCATTATCTTTGACCCGCTTCTTCCATCTTGGGTCATGGGGGTCACTGGTGCTCATGTCCAGCAATCACTGTGCAAGGGGTGGGGTACATCCTGGACAGGTCGCAAGTCCATCACAGGGCCTATTTTATAAAAATTAATTTAAAAAATTATTTAAATTTTTTTTCCCCATTTTTGCTTTATTGCTGATTTTTGAGTGTGTGAATCTTTCAGAAAGGCACATTATAGTTTGATGATATTCTTCTTCTTATTATTATTATTGCTAAATCTTAGTTTAACATTTGGCCATAACAATTTGGTGTAGATTCTATCTGTTAGCAAAATATTGTAGCTGTGAGTCATTGCTAACACTTCAGCTGAGGGTGACATTTTACTTTTTTCTCTCTTTGTTTTTAAAATATAGCTGCTGTCCATGGGTCAAACTGAAGCCTAGTGGGTCATTTTTACCCAAGGGTAGCAGGAGGGTTAATATGATCTTAGTTAAAACTTTGGCATGAAAAAAAAGGCCTATCTTATTATTGTTTTATAATAGGAATAATAACTTTAGGCCACAGTTATGAGGTCAAGTCTCAAGTTCTCAAAAAAAAAGTGTCAAAAAGTGTCTCATTCGGCGCCTCAGGCTGTCCTATAAAGTTTTTCTGTTGCTGTGTCTGGTCCGGTTCGTCTGTTTCAGTCCAGATCCACACACACCACCGTGTGTACTGCTGTCCCCGTCTAGCTCCGCCCCTCCGTTTATGCCGGCCGGTGCCCTTAGCCCCGCCCTCTGCAATGATTTAGAAGTTCAGGAATCCCACGTGACGTCACCGTCGGGGTGATGTAATGCCGCTGTAAATAGATGGTTTTGTCATCGAGCTCCAGTCCAACGTGGTTCCTCGGCGGAGCGCCGCTCGTCAGCCTCTCCACTCGTAGGTAAGCTTCCATTCACAAAACTTTCAGCCTCCAGGAGCGAGCGGCTGCTCACACCGCTGCCATGTCGCCACTTTTAGTCACTTATTCAACATATAACCTGCGTTAGGAGACAGCGGCGGGACTTTGATCTTTTTGTTGTTAAGCTAGTCGCTGGTTGTCCCGGGAGAAGTGCTGTCAGAGCGGACGGGTACTTGTGTCTATTTGGGGGGTGTGACAGCACCCTTCATACAGCTGTGCCCGGCTTGTTTGCGAGTTGAACAGGTGGTGCGGGTGGAGGAAAGATACGCACCGGCTTTACGGTTCCTCCTGACAGAACCAGAACCTTTAAACTCGAGCTGAATGAACTCCATGCCTCGCTGTTGTCATCATGACTCAGTCTCCATTAAAAAGGGCAACTTTGAGAAACAGTAAGTAATGTTTCCTGGGCTATCACAGCTGATTGAATGTTGTTTATTAAAAAGTTACGTGTAATGTTTGTGTCAAGGACCAAAACGGAGGCAAAAATAAAACGAGGATTAAGTTGAAAACAACAAAGAGCTTGAGAAGTGGCCATGAGGTGATTAACTGCTGTGTAGGATTTATGCATTAAGGATGACGTCATTGTGCACGGATGGATCCACACTCACTGGAAATGTGCTGAATCTGCTATAATCTGCGAGAGGATAGGGAATTAATGCTATTAATATGTTAAAAAAAATAAACTTTTCTCTCACATATCACCTGTAAATTATATTATAACTTGTTTGAGCTGTTTTGTATATTGATGGAACTCGTCTCGCTTGAATTTGTAACGCACGTTCACACGCTCTGACACACACACACACGCATACACTATGATGTCACCTCTGGTTGGAAAATGGGGGCCGAGGCAGGTTCGAACCTGTAAGGCCCTGAAGTGCAGTCCTCCCTCATTCTTCCTCTCCTCATTTCAACCCATTCTCCTCCTCCTGACTCCCTTCTATTCCTCTCTTACTACCACTTGTGCTTTCCATTTTCTTCTCCATCACACACACACACACACACACACACACACACACACACACACATGCACGCTCTTTTCATTTCTTATGGAAACATATATTTTTTTGCCCTTTCCTTCAGCTCTCACTCTTTCCCATAACACCAGAACCCCTTTTTGGCTTTCTTTTTGTTTTCATGAAAGAATGATCTCGGACAGGAATGATTATTTCTCTTCCTTCTTGGCCGTTTTAGAAAGACAAGAACGTCAGGCAAGTGGCGACCTTTGTGTCACCTCTTTTTAAAACTTGTTGCAGAGAGTTCAAGCTCTCAAAGGTCAATAAAAGCAGCATCTCCCCACTTTGCGCAGAACTCCAAGCGGCTTGGTTTATTTGTTAGTGCAAACTGTATATTTTTTGTCCTGGGATGACTTTTGTGCCGTTTATTATTAAACCTTTATTTTACCAGGAAGAAATCCACACTCATTATTAACCGATGAAAGCCTACATTCATGCTGAAACGATGGAAATTCACTGTCTCTGTACAATAATCATCAAAAATAAAAGCCATTGTGGGTGGAAGACTTTGAAGCCCTTTTAGTGCTAAAATGATTATAAGCAATACATTAAAAAAACAAGAGGAAAAGCAACACTGACCAGCAGTGTGCTACAATACTTTTCCCGAGAAAGATAAATACACATAAAAGCTGCTGCACCCCTGCTGACATCAGAGGGATCGTTTTCCTCGAGATGTTGTGTCTCAAAGTGAAACCTCCATCATCTACTCTATTACAGCCCAAAGCTTCAATGCTTTAAAGATATGATGATTTAGTTCGTCTTGTTTGTGCAGGCTTGTGCTTGACATGAACGACAAACAGGACAGGCTGTATGTGTGTGGCGCTCCTGGATGCTCTCAGGTCAGTATAAGACAAAGCTTAAGTTGTGTGAAAATTCATTAAAAAAAATTTTAAAAAAAGATAATCAAACTTAATGTAAATAGCAAATTAAAATGCTTGAATAAATTTAACTCCGTTTATTTCTCATCTACGAGTTATTACGGAGAACCTGGCGATATTTTCCCAGTCGCCATCTGTCTTCCAGCTGCGCTCATCTCTTTTTTATTTTTCCTTCTGTGTGGGCAGAGCTTCCAGCTAGAAGAGCACCTGATCATCCACAGACACAAGCATGAGATGACGCTCAAGTTTTCCTCCATCAAGGCAGACATAGCTTTTACAGGTGAGTGCAGCACCAACGGATATTTCACTCTAATTTCAGTTATTTCTTCCTGATTTTGTTTTACTCTGTTTTTTTACTCCACTGTGCTAAATATAAGGTGAGGCTGAATGTTTGTGTGGGTAAACCCTTTCTGGGATCAAAGCTCAATGAGAAAAAAACATGACAATGTGTTGTTATACAGTATGAAATCAGATAACCTCCATACAGGCTTCCTTCCCTCGGGCGGCCTGCTCTATGAAACAGAGCGGCTCGTGTTGCAGCACGCACTGTAAACTACATCATGTTAGAACAAACATGGTTTGATTTGAAAACAATAAAAAGGAGGGGCACATTAGTTTAGAATCCAGGGTTTATCTGAAATATTTTACCTTTTATTTCATACATAAAGCATATATTCTAAACCTCTTGGCCATGCCTAAAACACCAGACGTCTATAATGTTGTTTTACTTTAGAACAACCGAGTTTCTTCTGCATATATTTATTAAACGCATAAAATGAACAAATATGAAACTTTGCCCTTCCATTTTTCATTGCAGATTTTGCATTAGGAAAAAAAAAAGGTATGGAAGTTAAAAATTAAAAATATGTACATGTATTTTTGCTCAGTAAGGAGAAAATTCAGTCTGTGCACGTTCATTATTTTGGCAAAAAAAGTTGACAATTTTAGATGGACCTGTGTTTTTAAATCACTGATTAGGCACTGCAGACAATATCTTGTTGTAATCTGTTGCTGTTAAAAATGAATGATAATAATGTTAATAGAAAAAAAAACAGTTTTTATTTTTTGCCTGAAAATATACAAAAACAGTAAAATTTTAGAAATTGCAAATCAGTATCTTTGGTTATGTGACTAAAGAGTTATGTGCAACATATGTATAAAATTTATAAAACTACATGTTAAAAAAAAATGAAGTCATCCTGTTTTATATGGTGCTGCTACCACACACAAAAATTGTTACTGATCTTCTGATGGCTGTAACATTATTAGAATATATGAGTAAAATAAAAAAAGGAAATATTTTACTTAATAAATAAATTAAAAATAGCTTCATCCAAACCATCAACATATCTGCTATCCCATTCCAACCAGACTGTTTAAAAAGGTATTTTCCCTAATTTTTATCCCATTTTGGATCTGCTTAATTCATCTTTAATGAATAGTTACATACCACAGCGCGCTAAGTTTGCTGTAATTAAATCTTTACTTAAGAAACATGATATTGATTCTGGAATGATGAAAGTTACTAATGATATTCTCATGGCCTCTGACAATGGACAGGTGTCTACACTGGTCCTGTTAGACCTCAGTGCTGCATTTGATACAGTTGATCATAATATTCTATTACAGAGACTTGAATATGATGTTGGAATTACAGGAACGGCTCTAAATTGGTTAAAATCATTATTTGACAGACTCCAGTTTGTAAATGTAAATAACGAATCTTCTTCATACACCAGAGTTAGTCATGGAGTTCCTCAGGGTTCAGTGTTTGGACCAATACATTAGGTAAATTCATTAAACAGTATGGGAATTTTATTTCATTGTTATGCTGATGATAGTTATATTTATCCATGAAACCCAATGAATCCAATCAGTTACTTGATTACAAGTGTGGCTTAAAGACATAAAACCTGGATGGCCCTTAATATTCTGCTTCAAACTCAGACAAGACAGATGTTATGGTTTTTGGACCTGAGCATCTTAGGAATACATTTTGCAGCTTTTGACTTCTTCTAGATGGCATTAATTTGTCCTCCAGTTCTAATGTTAAAAATCTTGATGTTATTTTTGATCAGGACATGTCTTTTAACTCCACACATTAATTTTTTTTTTACCAGAACTGCTTTCTCCACCTGTGTAATACTGTATCACTAAAATTAGAAACATCTTATCTAAAAATGATGCAGAAAAACTGATCCATGCATTTGTCACGTCTAGACTGGACTATTGCAATGGTTTATTATCTGGGTGTCCAAATGTTTCTTTAAAACGTCTTCAATTAATCCAAAATGCTGCTGCCAGAGTCTTAACTGAAGTTAGTAGGAGAGATCAAATCTCTCCAGTTTTAGCTTCTCTTCATCGGCTCCCTGTCACATTCAGAATAGAATTTAAAATTTTACTTCTAACACTAAAAGCTCTCAACAATGTAGCTCCATCTTATCTCCATCTCCATCGTACAGATCTTTTTGTTCCATATTTTCCTAAAAGAGCACTTCACTCTCAGACTGCAGGTTTGTTATGGTTCCTATAGAGTGTCCAAAAGCAGAATGGGACGCAGAGCTTTCAGTTATCAGGCTCCTCTCTTGTGCAATCAACTTCCAGTTTCTGTCCATGAGGCTGACACATTGTCCAGTTTAAGTCCTTAGTTAGTTATTCTCTTAATTACTGCCATACACTGTGACTGCTGGAGGACAAATTGACCAAATTTCCTCATTCTGCTGCTGCTTTACTTGCTCTACTCTGCCTGTTTGTATTAGTAATTATTTTTATCTTTAACATGCTTAACATTTTGTCTTTCTTCTAATAGAAAGTACACCTGGACATGTCCTTCAGTGTTTTTCTGTTCCTCCTTCCTGTTCCTCTCAAACCCCAGCCGGTCAAAGCAGATGGCTGCTCGTCCTGAGCCTGGTTCTGCTGGAGGTTTCTTCCTGCTAAAATGGAGTTTTATTTTTCCTTTCCACTGTTGCCAATGTGCTTGCTCAGGATGGGAGACTGCAATTCAATTCAGTTCAATTCAATTTATTTATATAGCACCAAGTCACAACAGAAGTTGTCTCAGGGTGCTGAACAAAAGCATTCACATACATTAAAAAGCCAATTTGTAGCCAGCAGATTGCATTGAGTCTTCATTTTGTCTTGATCTTCCATTCTGAGCATGAACAATGAACTCCCTCCTAACAGGTAGGAACCTCCAAGAAATACAATGCATTTCAAATGAAGGGAAGATTCAACATAATCTGCTGGCTTCCTTAGATAGATAACTTTCACTAATTGTCTCATGTATGTGAATGCTTTTGTACAGTGCCCTAAGACAACTTCTGTTGTGACTTGGCACTTTAATTCAGCTGACATTCATAGCATAAAATGCAACAAAATTGTAGACATTTGATTAAAAATTGTTTTGAGGAATTTTTAAAGACATTTCTATACTCATACAATTGTACAAAATTATGTTTAATTTTAAAACTTTTAAAAATACATGTGCATGTTGAGCAACTGCAGTTTTTTTTTTTCATGGGTCACCATGACAAACCGATTCCACAGTATCACAGTCAAAATACTGTCATACGATAAAGTCTGTAACCATAGAAACAGCTGCCTTTCTGGCTGTAAACATTGGCGTGAGAGCTAACCTCTCCAGAATGTCCCGCTGGGACCCTCTCCCTGCATCCCATGTCCTGCAGTTTGTCTAGCCTCCTGCAGGAAACCTCATGTCAAAACAAAAAGGCCCAGATGACCTTTGACCCCTGCGTGTTTAGACGGCTCAGAGAGACAGACTGATGTTATCAGAGAGCGAAGCTGAGAGCGTGGCTTGTCTCTCCTCCTTACATTACAACCTGGACTGCCGTTGGTTCAAAAAGAAAATGGGCTCAAACCACAGACTGCTGTTGTTGGGAGTGGGGTGGAAGCGAGACTTGGATATCTGCTAGATATCTTAAATCTGCCTCCTTTGTGTCCACTCGGGTGATGTTTTCAGACCAGACTCCGACTCCGACGCGATTCCTGCAGAACTGTGAGGAGGTGGGTCTGTTCAAGGAGATAGAGGAAGAGTTTCTTCAAGAACAAGAGGAGGAGAAAAACAAAAAGGTACATATAGAATAACTCTAAAATTCAGGGATTTTTTTTTTCAAGCTTTTAACTTATTTTCACTGAATTTACAGTAAGGAAATATCTACTAATAATCCGGTGTTTGCATGTTAATTCTGTCATGGTTTGTGTTTGGTGACGGCTGTTTTTGTGAGCAAGATAAAAGTAGTCAGACCCAATTAGAAAACTGCAGATATCTGACCTGCTGCAGGAAAGACACACCAGGTGATCACATTCTACCTTGTAAATCAACCAGCCAGTCATCAAACACACACAGACACACACACATACACACTATTTCTATAATAGATTGTAAAACACACACTGCATGCTGGAACAAGATACAACCCTACAAGTTTAAAATGGTCCCAGCTGTTGCCACTGCTTTCCTCTACAGACGCTTTCCCACAATGGGCCTTCATGTATGAACCAGCACCATCACAAACCCCAGCTTCAGCTACAGCACCCTCCCCAGCCTCAGCACCCACACCCGCAGCAACCGCTGCACCATCCTCAGGCCCTCGGTCCAATGATGGCACCAAGCTGCAGCCTGGCTGCTCAGCAAGCTCTGTCTTGTTCCTCCTCTTCCTCCTCCCATTCTGGTTCGATCATCACGTCCACCTTAACACATTCAGGGTGAGTGTAACACACAAACACCATGTATCTTACTGGTATTACTTATTTTCTCCAACAAACGTTTACTTTTGATTCTCATTTCTGACTGCTCCCATCCTTCACTTCATCCTTCTTGTCTCTTCTGGTTGTATAATTATTCATTCTGTTGGGCACAGACTGGCATCTCAAGGTTCAAAGAGACTTTTTTGTCATTCTCCTCACATGTGGTGCATGAGGTGGACCAAAATTGTGTACTCAAGGTCCCAGTTGAACCCAAAGTACACTAAAAAGTTCCTAGAGAAACTTTGATGGGGACTGCCATGTGGCGGCCATTTTAAATTTTTGACTTGACAGTATTAAGTGTTTGGGTTCGCTCTCAGCTTTCACACCAAATTCCAGCCTAAAATGGCAAAATATCAATGAGTTAAAGTAATTTTTCCTTTAAAACTATGGTGGCCATCTTGGATTTTTGATTTGGATTCAATGTGAGATGGGGAAGGTTCACAACTATAACCACACCAAATTTCAGCTCCATGTGAAAAATAGCTGAGTTAAAGTTATTTAACTTGAGCTTTGGTGGCCACCTTGATTTTTCAAATTCATTATTTACTGGGCATTGGTCTCAGTTACTACCACACCAAATTTCAGCTTAACATCTCTAAAAATGGCTGATTTACAGCATTTTTCCTTTTTAGCTCAGGTGGCCATCTTAGATATTTGATTTGCAACTAGTCTATGAAAAATGACTAATAAAAATTGTGTCTTTATTTGCTAATTAAGTTGCCATGGTAACTCGAAACGTCAATAAAAGTAATAGCACACATCATGGTGCTGAACCGGTTGTTTTGATATAACATTTGTGGGGGTACACATTGTGGTTCGGGCCACATTAAAGTTGATGGAAGAGTAAGATATAAAGTTAAGAAACCCTTGTCAGGTGGATAATAATAGGGGGCTGCCTTACTGGGCAGTCCCAATAAAAAAAAAAGGAACAATATACTAGGATCTAAGAGCTGAGTGAAGCTGACACCCCACCCACTTCCAAAATTAAAGCAACT